AATGTGAATAAGATTAAAAGTCTTGTAACAGATACTGGCGACAACAGTAGTATTTACCCTTGCAATCAGTACCTGCGAAAGTTTCGGCTAAAATTGAAAATGTGTGCTAGTTATGATGGCGTTATTATCCATCGGTGTTGTTGTGTTTGCGTGTGGTTGTATACATAGAAATATGAAAAAAGCTGTAACTGCTTTATGTAGAGCCTCTAAGGGCTAGAGAATATATAATGGTTAACACGTCACGATTGGTAGGATCTGGAGATAGTTGAAGTAAAGAATAAAAAATTACAACCGTTAGAAGCCGAATCGTAATCTTAAGAAATAGGCGATTCAAAGAAATGAAAATGTGAATCAACCGGAATCAGAAAAATTTTTTTTGCTACCGTTGGTAGACCGAGCCATATTGTTTAAGTGAACGGCTCAAAGCGTGAAAAGTGTAGGAAGACCACAGTCCGAAAATGTTTTAACCTAGGGTGGGTTAGTTTAAAGTTATGGTGGAAAAGATAGTAGAACTATTCATGTGGCACAAAACCGTATGACATGTTGAAAATTTATATAGGGAAAAAATATGTAGAAAATGGTCTTGTGTTTCATCTCCCAGCTGTAAACACAGGTAGTATAAGGTAAATTAGGTGTGGGAATCATCAGTACAGCCACTTAACCACCATGTAAAAACGGCCATTTAGCAAGCTATTTGGAAGAAAAGACAATTGATTTCCCTTCGATCATCTTTGCAAGTAGCTCCTTCCTGGACAATTTTCCAGTAATTTCAGGCAGCAGTAAAATTCCTTTTGTGCACTTTTTATGAGTGACTGTGGTACCTTTGTGATATTGTGTCACCAGGCAACGCATTAGCCAGTCTATCATTTTTCGAGGATTGCTTGTTTGGTAAAAGCTGATGAAATTCCTGATATGCTAGAGAACAAACCCATTTTACCACAGAAGCGAATCAGCGATTTCTGGAATATTGGCTTATTGGCCTTCTTGCTAATCGAGTTAGAGTTGGTGGCTTGCAACCGTCGTTACGAGTTAAACTTCGATAAACATGTGCAATGGTTCAGACAAGCCATGCTTAACCGGATAGAACGCGACAGTTTCCTCCTGACATGTTTGGAGCCGTCAAGATTCATACCTCGCCATGCATCAGTAATGTCTAGCCGGTTGCTAAATGTTTTGGAAATTTCTGAAGAATGTAAACTATGGATGTTTGTTTGGCACTGTAGGCCAGCCGATGAAAGGGACACAGTCGAATATTGTTAATTGTGGGAATGCAGTGAGCGCTAATTCAGATGCCCAGATAAGCGAGCCTGTATGTGCATTAGCTGTTCTCCAGTCTGAGTTTCATCCCTAAACTGTAAACACAGACGGCAGAGTCGGTGCGGAATGGGGTGGAAATCATCAGCACTGTGCCCCACTCCGCCATGTTTTGAACGAATATGTGACTTTCCGATGGAAGATGAAGGAAGAAAGAAAGGATGTG